TAACTTGCTAAAAAAAGCCACATTCTTTCAGAATTACAACTTGGGCTTCAGTTTAATTTTTTCTTAGTATTTATCTTATGGAGAAAAAAATTATTCTTAGGTCAAAACAGTCTTTCATTTATTTTTATCTTTAAAGACAAACAGGACAAAATAGAAATTGAAGGTTTTTCTAAAACCTCTCTTAAAAATGTGAAAATACAATGTTTCACTAGTGTATTCCTTCCTCACCAAATATTAAGAAAATTCTGCCATATTCCAGGTTCAAGGTGTGGGAGTTCATAGCAACAAACTAGTCAGATGAAGGTTTACCTCATGAAGGCAGTGGGAAAGTGTGCATTCTAAGGGGAGGAGGCAGAAAATAAATGATAAGACAAATAACTCGTTGTTGTAATTTCAGGTAATGATAAACTGCATGAAGAAAGTGACCTAGTGTGATGTGCTAGTGTTCCTAGGTGTGTACGGGATTGGTAGTCAAAGTTGGTGCTTGGGGAGGTGACAGTTGACCTGATACTTCAATGAGGAAGAGCCACGTGAAATTTGGTGGCATCATGCCCTAGGCACAAGAAACCAATATGGGAAGTAAGTAGAATGTTTGAGAAACGGAAGAAAACAACTAGTTGGTTGGACCCCAGTGAGTAAAGTGCTGATGGAGTGTTATGAGTGAACTGTCTACAGGAGCCATGAAGTGTAGCTCATGGGAGAGAGTAGGGATTTTCTTTCTAAGTGCAGTCCAATGGGGGAAACCAGTGGAGTCTTTTTGTTTTATTTTGTTTGTCTATTTTTTGTTGTTGCTATTGGAGTCTCACTATCACCCAGGCTGGAATACAGTGACATGATCACGACTCACTGCAGCCTTGGACTTCTGGACTTAGCCAGTCTTTCCACCTCAGCCTCTTGAGTAGATAGGGCTACAAAGGTGTGCACCACCACACCTGACAGTTAAAAGTTTTTTTTTGTAGAAATGAAGTCTCGCTATGTTGCCCAGGCTAGTCTTGAACTTCTGGGATCAAGCAATTCTCCTGCTTTGTTCTCTCAAAGTGCTGGAATTACAAGTGTGAGGCACTGTTTACAGTCTATTTGTTTCTTCTGAGAGGAAAAACATTTCTATTTTTACATTAAAAAAAATCATAGGTGGAAGTATAGAAAAAGTTTGTAGAGGAATAGGAGTGAAAGCAGAGACTGGTTAGGAAGCTATTGGTGTATTCAAATGCCTTAGACTCATGGTAGAAACAGAAATGTGGAGAGGTACAAAAATCCTTCATATAAAGAATTTTCAGGGCTTATTGATAGATGGGAAGTGAGGGTGAGAAGAGAGGAGCTGGGAAACCATTAGGCTTTGTCTTATGCAGCTGAGTGAAGACAATACTTTGGGTAGAATTGGTTTAGCTGAAAACAAATGAGTTCTACGTGTTAAAAATAAAGTCCCCACTAGATACCCAGTTGGAGATATCAATGAATGGAGTATGAGTCTTGAATTCAGCAAACAGGACAAGGCTGGAGATATAACTGTAGGCCATTTTGGTATCTACATGACATTTAAGGTCATATTACGGATTTATTTCCCTCTGTGATGAAAAAAGAAGTCTGAGAAATGACACAGATGTGTGTGACATCATGATAGGGACCCTCCCAAGCAGGTGGTGTTTTTGGATTCACTCAATGGAATTCATTTTTTAAAGGGAATATTAACTTGTAAAAAAATTTTTTTGAAATATAAGAAAAGCCAGATATTTTTGTGTGGGTTCAAGGACATATTGCATTATGAAACTCATGTCAGAGTGTCTAATTTTATTTTCTTATGGTTGATAACTGAGCAAGATAGGTAATCTAGGAAGTTATAACAGGTATGAGTATAAGGTATTATGGTCAAGTCCAAGGATGGTTGACATGATATTAGGGCAACACTTCTTTATAGGTGAAGTGAGAAGAGATGTTAAAAAAAAAAAAAAATATATATATATATATAAAGAAATATGCTAGGATATGGACTTATTGAGTTTAAAGAAGAGAAGATCATACAATGTTTGGATTTGACAGCGTTCCTTCATGCTATGTCTCCCTCATGAGTTTTGTAAGCTTCTACTGTTAAGAAATGATTAGCCTGTAATCCCAGCACTTTGGGATGCTGAGGTAGAAAGATTGCCTGGGTAATATAGTGAGACCTTGTCTCTACAAAAAAAAAAAAAAAATAGAAAAATTAGTTGGTCATGGTGATGCTCACCTGTAGTTCCAGGTACTAGGGAGGCTGAGGCAGGAGGATTGCTTGAGTCCAGAAATTAGAGGCTGCATTGCCCTTCAACCTGGGTGACAGAGTAAGACTCTGACCCCCACTCCATCCCCCCCCAAAAAAAAGAAAAAGAAAAGGTTAAATGAACCGATAACAAACTGTTATTGTCTAAGGATTCAAGCATCACATCAGTTTTAAATTTCAAGAACATTTGGATACTATTTCCCCATAGCTGTCATTTGCACCCTATGTGCTCTCAATGGTTGGTGCACCTTTACAATATAATATTGGAAAGAAACCCACAGGGTTTCTAATAATAACTCTATACAACAAAGAAGGCAACAAACAGGAGCACATTGAATACGTCATATTTTACATTTAGGGCAAATATTTAACCTGACCCCACACTTTCAAAGATTATGAAAATTTGCAAGGCATATATTGTCTAATTATCTGTGTTTATCTCTATTTCTTGTAGTGTCTGGTTTATAGTAGGTACCTAATAACTGTTGACTGAATCACAACTGTTTCTGTTACTACTACTTACTCTACCTTCACCACCATTATTTTTAGCTACCATTTATTGAGTGCTTACAGTGCTAGACCTGGTGAGAATCACTTTTGAGCATTGACTATTACCATGTTAGACATATTGAGCTTCTAATGTCAGATAGGTAAGAAATAAGAAAGTCAGGATTTGAACTCAGGTTTCTTTGACTCCAGAGACCATGGGCACAACCACTACCCAAGAATGTCTGAGGAAACTAATAAAATAACTGCAAGCCAGTTAGCAGTGAGGATCAGAGAATCTCTCCTTCCCTTGTTCTTTCTTGAGTTTCCCTTGTGATAATAAAATACCTGTAAATTTTTTATTCTTTGCTTGCATTTCTATAAAGTAGATGTTTCTTAATATACAGATGTACTGTCAACTTTTCTTTCCTAAAATTGTACTGGCTTTACTGTTGTAGTCTCACAAACCAATCTGACTCTAAAGCAATTGTTCTTTCGCTCTAGGTTTGATCATGGCCTCTGCACGTGGGCCTACATTTTGGAAGATGGACAATGGAAGAAAATGAAGGAGTGAGATTGTGTGAGTGAAGGTTAGGGGGAGGCATGAGTTGAATGTCTTTAATATTTTCTTTAGGTGGTATATTTGGCAGCCATGATAAAACTCCTCCATCAACCTAAACCATGGACCCACTGGGAGGCCTTGTGACATGGTGTTGAAGAACAGTCTCAGGAGCCATACTTAGTCAGATTTCATCCACTCGCTGTGTGATTAGAAATTCAATGAGCAAATATTTATAAAATGTTTAGAATAGGGCTTGAAATATAATAAGCACTCAATGAATTTCAAATCTCTTCCTCTCTCTGTCTTTGTATATATATCATTTGTCGAGATCATTCTAATTTTTCTTGGCCTTGGGTGGAAATGAATTTAGGAGACTGATAATACTAGAAAACTTGAGACAAAAATCTCTCCTCCTCTGTGCATTGCTTATACTCTTCCGCATGTGGAAGAAATAATTAATTTCCCTATATAAAGAATCAAATAAAATCTCTGCATATCCAACTGACCTACGCTAACAGAAAAGTGAATGTGTTGTGAGTGGCCAAAGCCACAAAGAAATGAGAGAGATATTTACCAGCAAAAATAGTTATGTGGGACAAATCCACTGTCAGTGTCCCCAGAGATGGAGTAATCGTCTGGAGATAAGAGGCTGGGATATGTCTCCCTGAGATGGTGGCAAATAAATTATGCCCAGTGTGGGATTGCAAGTGTTAATCAATTCGGGTGAAGAAACAGGGAGTTTATAGGAGCAGTAGGTTCAAATAAAAGAGAACAAGGGGAATTCAGGATGTGGTGATCATAAAGGGCCCCAAACAGTGAAATGGAGGCCGATGCTGAACTAGTGAATGCATGGTTACAATCAAGGAGACATTGACCGAGAAGGCAGTTGAGGTGACTGAGACTGGGAAGAGAAGAGTATTGGCGTGATATCATTGGACTCAAATTTGCCAGGCCTCTACATAGCTGAGACAGATAGAGAGAGATGGCAAACAAAGGGTAATGTTTTTCAGTATTTGCTTAACAAGTTATTCAATAACCTTAATAAAGGTTCAGCAGGGAGATCCCAGAGAGAGTATTTGATGAAGTAGGCATCTTGTTCTTATTTACCTCAACTATGCATGATTCTTCTTTTAAAATTCTGCCATATACTAGTAACAAGAATTATAAACCTGGACAACTTTAAGGCCGTTTGTTGTCGAATGTGGACTGCAACATTTGGGCAGAGTATGGGCTGTGGAGACAGGAAGACCTTGGTGAGGACTGGAGTTCTGCCCTTTCTTTCCTGCAAGGGTCAGACCTTGAGCAAGTTGATTTTCCTTGTTGACATGTTGTTTCCCTATTTTGTAACATAGGTTCAGTGCAATGTGCATTGTAGCATTGCAATGAGTACTTAATTAACTTTTGTGACGGGTACATATTAAATGCCTAATAAAGTCTATTCATTGTGATTATTGTGAAAATAGGCTATCTGGGGAGTTTCCTTTTTTTTCCCTGAAGAAATTCCTTCCTCTTTTTACCTTCCATCCATGGTAAGGTCAGTAGGTGGGTGACCATGAGGAACTGTGAGAGGCATCTGGAGGGAGGAGCCACCACTTTCAAATATGAACACCAAATGTTTCCTTGCCTAATGCACAGGTGGAGATAATGTTTTGTGTCATATAAGCCTCCAGCGGTTTGGAGAAATAGGTTCCAACTTATGACCTAAGAAAACACTTTCTTCCTCTCTAATACCTTCCACAGGACGTTCTTGATCTCTTTGTTCCTCAAACTGTAAATGAGAGGGTTCAGAATGGGAATCACCAGTGAATAGAACACAGACACCACCTTGTCCCGGTCAGGTGAGTAACTGGAGCTAGGTCGCAGGTACATGTAAAGAGCCGTCCCAAATAACAGAGTCACCACCATCAGGTGTGAGGTACATGTGCCAAAGGCTTTCCACCAGCCCTCCACTGAGCGGATCCTCAGGACAGCAGACCCTATGTAGATGTAGGAGATAAGGAGGATGAGGAATGATGTCCCCCCCCATGGTAAGCACCACGAGGAAATTTACCACTTGACTGAGGAAGGTGTCGGAGCAAGACAGAGCCAGGACTGGAGGGAGGTCGCGGAAGAAGTGGTTGATGACGTTGGGTCCACAGAAGTGAAGCCGAAATATGGAGCTGGCTTGGATCAGGGCACTGAGGAAGCCACTGACGTATGCCCCAACCACCATGCGTGTGCAGAGGCCCTGGGGCATGATGGTGGTGTAGAGAAGAGATCTGGAGATGGCTGCGTATCGGTCGTACGCCATGGCAGTCAGAAGAAGGCACTCAGTTAGACCCATGCCCACAAAGAAAAAAAAATTGAGCAGCACAGCCCACAAATGATATAGTCTTCTGCTCCCGGAAGAAGTCAGAGAACATCTTGGGAGCCACAGCAGAAGAGTAGCAGATGTCAATGAAAGACAAGTTGCTGAGGAAAAAGTACATGGGAGTATACAGATGAGTGTTGTCTCTGATCAGAAAGATGAGGGCCAGGTTCCAGGCCAGGGCCACTAGATAGATAGCCAGGAAGGTTACAAAGAGGAGGACCTGGAGCTCAGGATGGTTTGTGAATCCCCGGAAGATGAACATAGTCACTGATGTGCTATTCAAGGCCTTAGTTATGGATGTGCTTCCCATGGACCACAAGGACAAGATGCAGACCTGGGATAATAATGATAATCCACATCATAGGTAATATCGACAAATAATTACAAATGCATGGGAGAGAAGACCAAGGATTATGGAGGGTTACAACTTGATGCAAATTTTTTTTTCTCTCTTTGGCTCTCTCTCAAAGATGGCAATTGCAGCCATTGTCTTAAATATTTATGCAGAATAGTGCAGTTGATATGAGTTTAACCTTTGGATCCAGACTCCCCAGGATCAACTCTTGCCTCCACCACTATTTATGTCACTTTGGGTGAGATACTTAACATCTCTTGCTTCATTCTTTTTATCTTTAAAACTAGATGACAGCAATTATTTCTCAGATTTGTTCTAAGAATTAAATAAGGTAATGTGTGGAAGGTGCCCGACACATACTAAATGACCAGTGAATTATTATTAGGACTCTTCTGTGTGCCTCAGATGAGTCAGCTCATGTCCTAAAATAACTACCTACTTTACTCAAGTTTCAATATTAGAATGGAAAGATCAGTGGGACCAGGTTCAGCTGTGTAGTTGTGAGATGACTAATCAGATGAATAGAATACTTTTTTTTTTGAGTCAGAGTCTCACTCTGTCGCCTAGACTGGAGTGCAGTGGCCGCTCCTGGCCACCACAGCCTCGACCTGCTGGGCTCTGGCAATCCTTCCGCCTCAGCCTTC